TATTGTAAAGGGAAAGGGGAATGACTTCCCTGGGAAATATGAAACCTAAGAAACAAAGACCCAGGGTGCCTTGTAGAATGGTGCCCTCCAAGTCTGGTGGGTTTTAGCAGGTTAACATCAGGAAGGTTATTGCAAAGACCTTACCCTCAGTGGGGATTCGGCAGTGGTAACAAGTTAAACTTTGGAGCAGGGACCAGACTAAGTGTCCAACCAAGTGAGTAATGTGGGGGCAAGGGTGGACATTGACAACTAATTCTTCTTTGTCCAAGATGCTGAGTTGAGCCCAGGTATTATCTTCTGTAGGATCCCAAATGGTTCTTTCCACCCATCCCAGAAAATCCTCTCATCCTGCGCTCAATGCTCAGGAAATATCCTTGGGCCACAACCTGAAGAATCATGAGTTAGGTGATGGGCAAGGAGTCCTGGACCTTTCACTGCCCTGAGCGGGGGGTTTTGCTCTACTGAATTCTTGGTTTAAGGAAACCACAACCTCCAACCGAGGGCACTACAGCAGGATGAGGCAGGAGGGGAAGGATTAAGAGACAAAGTCTCAACACAGAAGATCAGAAGGTATTACCTCAGAAGACTGTGACCCTCCATCCCCTGTGAGAGACCAGTGTTTCTGCTACTGAAATAGGAGGTAGGGCCAGTGAGTTTCTGTAATGGTGTCACCTGCAGTGTGAATACCAGAGGAATGACCGATAAACACATTTAGGAAAGGAACGCAAGTGGCCATAATATTTGGTGAGTCATTCTAGGTGGCACCATTTGCAACCCCATGGGCCAGTGTCACTAATCTTTTCCCCGGAGATATTAGTATTACTGTGGTAAGGCTAACTGTGGGTGTTACAACTAATTGTCTTACAGAGGCCTCTGTGAACGGGAAAAGCCACACTATCCATCTTGAAAATCTGTGTTTCTCTAGGTCAAACGCATTAAAATTTTACTCTAGTCATTCAGTGGCTAATTTTAAATGCCTTCTATGTGGCCGTCAATCTATAAAATGTGAGACTGAGTATGAAGATATCTAAGATAGATGCCTGACCTGTCTCCAAATAGTATAAAAACTAGCCAAAGGGACCAAACTATTGTAAATTTAGCAACCTGAAATACATTTTAGTATCCACCAGCTGACGATGTCAACAGGCACAGTAGAGATACAGAGGAATGGAGTCCCAGCTGAAAAGTTGGCCTAGATGGAGAAGGTTTGATGCAGTAGAAAGGATTCATTGAGTCTGAAGGATAGAGTAAGATCTGTCTGGGCAAAGCAAGGACAGGAGGGGACTTCCAGGCATAAGGAACACCAAGAAAGAAGGCATGATCTTGGGAGTGAACAAGGCACATGATTTTGGCCAAGTAAACACATCTAATAATGAAGTTAGATGGAGAGAAAGCCAAAGATAACTTTATAAACAATGGAGAAAAGGAATACTAGAGGCTTCAAGAGAATACAGTATTGATCACAAAACTTGGTATATAGTAAATAATAATAGATCATATATAGTACTTTTATTATTTTTTTAAAAATATATATTTCTCTGAAATGGTAAACTGAATAAATACAAATTTGCTTCAAAGCCTTTAAAAAAAAAGAGAGAGAGAGAGAGAATACAGACAATTAGGGCCAGGACCAGCCACTAGGAAACTGGGAATCCAATTCAGAAATGCAGACCAGAGGTGAAGGTGAGAGGGGCCAGCTCTTTCCATGGACGGCTTGTGGCCTAGACCTCCCCCTTCTTGCTCAGTGGGCTGTAAGAGCCCATCCCTCAGAGAAGGGGAAACCTAGGCTCTCTGTAATGGAGACCTTCAGAGTGGTATGGAGGTATTGCCTCCCAGATGCAATGTGGTAAGGGAACCAGAGTTTCCATTACTCCCGGTAAGTCTGTGCAGGCTTACTGCTTCCTGACGCTCGCCAGAGCCTCAGTGGAACTCAGACTCAGAGTCAGTGCTGCTAACTCACATTTTGGGTTCCTGGTGCCTAAATACCAAGAACAGATTTAGTGGTAAGGGAGCTTTCGATCACTGCTGTGCCCCTGGGGATCTAATGCGCTACAGCCTTCGGACATGTGCTTCTGCCGTTAGTTCCGAATTTAAATGAGCAGTTAGGAACTAGAATAGGTGACTTCCACACTGAAAAATTGATCCAGTCTTGCTAAGGCTACCTTCTGAGATGTCATCAGTGGTAGGAGGCGTTTATCTTGCTAAGGTGAAACAGGATGTCTCTCCTCCCAGGGCTCTGGCAGATGGACCCCTGAAGCCCTCCAAATTAACAGTGACTCATTCTTTGTTTTCAGACAAAAAGGTCGCACTAGAGGTACATGGGGCGTAAAAGTAAAAGGGGGCTTTAAAGAGTCAAGTGTAGGGATCAGTATCCAGCTTTTTTGACCAAAAGGTCTAATTAGCAGAAATTCTGCAAATCTGATAATCACTAGGCCGCTTGTTTATCCAACAATTATTTCTTGAGCCCCTAGTATATGGCAGAGACCAGGGACACAGCAGTAATCTAGGGACAGGCCTTTGCTGTCACAGAGCTTACATTCCAGGGAGCCAGTGTGAAGAGTTTGGTGTAGCTGTACTCATATAGGGCATATAAAGGATTTGAGAGAGGAAATTCAAGCTCTCCAGATCACGGCAGCCCCTGAATGTCATGCCAGGAAGTGTGGGCATCATCCTATAGGCAATAGGGAGGCTCTGAATTATTTTGAACAAAAAGTGACCCGATCAGCTCCACGTTTTAGACAAGTCGTTTGGATGATGAGCTCAAAGAAGAGATTGAAGTGTGGGGAGAGGGTGAGTAAGAGAGGAAATCAGGGGTAGGGAAGCCAGACAGGAGAAACCACAGCCAAAATGCACATAGGGAAGCCTGAAGGGTATCAACTGGTAAAAACAAGACTTGAAAGAGGCTAAAAATCACCTCAGTTCTTCTGACTTCACTAACTGCTCTTTCATTTTGATCTCTCACTAGCAAAGTTGAGCTACGATGGGTCTGCCCCGGTATCACCCCTCACAGAACTCAAGTTGGCTTTAAGTCTCACCCTCAGCCCCTGGTGCCTTTCATCATGGTCCGTAGCATTGCTCACTCCAGACCAATGCTGTCCAATAGAACTTTCAATGACAATGGAAATATTCTGTCATTCCGCACTGTCCTATAGAGTAGGCATCACCCAAATGTAGCTACTGAGCTCTTAAAATGAAGGTTTATGGGTAACTGAATTGTTAATTTTACTTGATTTTGGTTAGTCTTAATTTCAATAGCCACAAGTAGCTAAAGACGATCACATTGGACAGTGCGGTCTAGACCTTCTCCAGCCTGACACCCCCCTGGCACTAGGACTTGAGTGAGAATTTAACCAGGACTCAAAGTTGGGCATCTGGCCCCCACAGTAACCCCCTTCCCCCTCTAAGGCCAACCTGTGTCTGGTGGCAGCTTAGCCTCTGCCTTCTTCTTGAGGCCACGTTCTCTCAGCACCTCCACACCCTTCCATGTCCCCCTCCCCAGTCCCACCCATGACCCCCGCTGATGACTAACAAATCCACTGGAGTGTGGTATTGGTTAATGGCTTCCCATCTCTCCCCTCCCAGGAAGAGATTTACACCATAGATCCTTAACCCATAGTGATGTCAGCCCCACAGGTGGATGGAGATTAGAGGGGAGCAGGCAGAATCCTTTGAAGCCAGAGGTTTGGATGTCGCTCACATGTGACCATGGACCCACCCCTGCTCTGCTGTTCCAGGGACAGCCCCACCACAGACAGCTCTGTCTTGACTCACCATCCCAAGGCCATGCCAAGGGCTGATGCCACTGGTTTGGTGTCAAGCTGGATATCTGCATTGCCAAGGCCACCCTGGCTGGCTCAGCTAGTGGGGTGCATTATGCATCACTGGTCTGCAAAACTTTGCATGCGTGGTGGGGAGCTGGGGCAGCAGAGAACCACAGGGGCAGGAAGCTGTTGTCCCAACCCTGCTGTAAACTCTCTGGGTGGCCCTAACGTGTTAATCCTCTGGGCAAAGCTCTGCTTCCTCCTCCAAGGGCAAGAGGTCTGAAAGAATAAACACTGAGGGTTGCATTAAAGACACAAAATCCTATGAAAATACTAAAGAGTCATTCTCAGCACACTAAAGAAAAGCCTCCAGCAACTCCTGCTTCCTGGGGGGTGAAGAGTAGAAACTGTATTACTTGGTAGCACATTATTATGGCAGTCTCCTGGTAGTATCAAGAGCTACAATTACTAGAATTATTTCAGTATTTCACAGTTTATTAAATATAATTCATATGGAGAAACCCTCATGGCTTCTCAGAATAGCCTGGTTAGGAAAGTGGATGAGGCAACATCCACATTTGACAGATGAAATTCCTGACACTCAAGGAGCTGGTGTGAATTGCTCAAGGCCTTGTATCTAGTAAATGGTAGAGCCAGGGCTTGGATGCAGATGTTCTGATGTAGCGTCTAAAACTTTTATCAGTGAGAGAAATCTCCTGGTGATGCGACCGATCTTCCAACTTCATGCCAGCCTATCGTAAAGCTCACATTCCTGTCAATGCCCAGCCTTAGTGGGGGAGACCACCCCAGATTCTAAGACGTATGGTTTGCTTTGCTGGATATCTTTTCTACGCTCGCTTTGTCCTGCCAGAATTATGTTGTCGCTTACTATTCCTACTGAGCTTTGAAGAAGTGCCCTTAAGCGGAAGAGTGGGCAGTATCCTTAAGTAGCCCTGCATTTCTGCTTTCCTTGAATGGCAGGCAGGGCCTGGTAGAGAGCATTCACTAAGAGCCTGGCTGGCCTCTTGGCCAGGACTCATGGTTTGTGCCTGTCCCTGAGTCCCGTCTGTTGCAAGCTGCTGGTGTCTACAATATTCTTTCCCATCTAAAGCCTGACAAATGTGACTTGTCAGCCCTACAGAGCCCCATTCTTGCCCATCACTGGCATCTGGACTCAGGCCTGGGTTGGGGCAAGGAGGGAAATGAACATCTCCTAACCCATGTCTTTTGCGTCCACAGATATCCAGAACCCCGACCCTGCTGTGTACCAGCTGAGAAGCCCCAAATCCAGCAACACCTCCGTCTGCTTATACACCGATTTTGAATCTCAGGCCAATGTGTCACAAGTCACGAGGCCCGTGGTGTTCAGCTCAGACAGCACCGTGCTAGACATGGGAGCCTTGGGTTCCAAGAGCAACGGGGTCGTGGCTTGGAGCAGCAGGACCGATTTGGGATGCACAGACACCTTCAACCAGACCTTCTACCCCAACTTAGGTGAGTGCAGCCTTGGTGCCGGTCTAAGCTGAGTCTCCTCCTTCGAGAGGCCTGCTTGTTCTCGGGGCTCGGGTCCTTGGTATCTAAAAGCTGCTCTGATTGCTGGTCTCGGCCTCATCAATTGTCAGCAAAGCCCCCTCCCCTCTCTTTACTGAGCACCAGTGAATCCCATGCCGGCAGGCCACAGAACGTCCTGGGCAAAGAGCAGAGGGGGAGAGGCGAGGGGCACACTGGCCCTGAGGCTCACCCACTCTGAGTCCCCACCCCCCTGGCTCCGCTCAGCCCCTTACTGCTCCTCCAGGCCCCGCCCTGATGCACTTCTCCAAGATCCCTCCCCTTATTTCTCCCTCTCTGCCAAAGGTCTCTCCCAGCTCCTAACCTCACTCATTCATTCATTCATTCACTCAGCGATCACTGATTGTGCATTACAACATGCCAGCTGCTGCCGTGGAGGAGCAAACACATCAGACGATGGGTGTGCCCCGAGCAAGCCCCATTCCTGTTGGGGGAGACCAACCATCAGCAAGTGGAAAACTCCAGATTGTAATACGTGCTTTAACTTGGAGTTGGGGAAACAGCCACCTTAGGGACAAAAGTCACAGAAGGGCTCTCTGGGGAAATGCTATCTGAACTGAGATTTCAAGGCTAAGAAGGTACCAGCCATGCCAAGGGCAGAGAAAGGACCCTATAGAGGCCTGAGCCAGGAGCTCAGTGAGAAAGGAGAAGGGCAGGAGGAAATGAGATGGAAGAGGTAGGCAAGGGCCACATCACAGGGCGCACCCGTCATGAGAGGGAGACACTGTTCTAGGTACAATGAGAAGCTTTTGATTGGCTATAAACAGGGGAATGACATCCAATTTACTTTTTTTAAAAATCACTCTGACCGCTGAGTGGAAAATGGATTGGAGGAGCCAAGAGTAGAAGCAGAAAAGAAGCCCTTGCAGCAGAGAGATGATGGAGGCCGGGACGGGCTTGTGGCAGGGGAGTTAAATGCCCATGCCCAACACTATTTGGGATCCAAAGGTAGAGCCGTGCAGGGATGAGAAGGAAAAGAGGGCATCAAGGAAGGTGGCTGGATTTTATTTCTGAGCAGCTGTGTCAGTGGTAATGCTGTTTACTGAGTCAGAGGAAACAAACAAACAAATTTGGGATGCAGGGGTCAAAACTTTGTGGAACACATGAAAGCATCTATACCCCTCATGGCACTTGTCACTGTGTCTGTCTTACTTCCTCTATCAGACTCCAGACTGGAACTTGCCCAAGGGCAGGGTCTAACAGCTCCTTAGGGCCTTGTGTTCTCCAGTGTTCATTAAGTGAATAAAATGGTGCCCAGAAGCCAGGGTGTTGGTCCTTCAGGGGTCAGTGGCTCATCCCAGCAGGTGCCCACATGGGACAGGTTCTCTCAGATCTCTGCACAAGGAAGAATGGAGAGGCTGGAGACATTCAGCAGCCCAACTTCTGGGGTGGGAGAGTCAGCACGCTCGGGACTCTAAGAAAAATTTCTTTGTTTGTTCCTTTTAGGAATTCCCTGTGATGCCAAGATAGCAGAGAAAAGCTTTGAAACAGGTAAGGGAGGGGTCTATCCTGGCTTCACACAGGTTTGTGGAGGCGATGAACCCACAATTACTGGGACGGGATAGAGGTGACGAGAAGGAATGTGTGGATCTAGGAACGAAGTTCTGAGAAACAAGAACGGCAGTCCGAGCCCTTGTTAGAGCTGCCTGGGGACATTCTTAAATCCCTAGATTCCTCTCACCATCTCCAATTTTCTTTTCCACTCTATGTACTTTGAGGATGAGTCTAGTTTTGCTAGACCAGTGACTCACTCCTAGGCCTCTGTATTCCTTTCAATAGCTCCACTGTCAGCACAGCTCAAGAGAGCTTCTGGGTGGCCCAGGTGTGAAATCTCTGACCAGCTTTTGTGTAGCCCTAGACTAACCAGGTCACCGTGAAGACATTTTCCCTCCATAGCCAGGGGGTTTTGCCTTCTTTCGAGAAGAGCAGCAGAACTCTTGTAGGCCGTGACCTTGTCTCTCAAAGATCCTCACCCCTCCTCACCACCCACCCTGGGCCCATATTCATTGCCATTTGAGCCATTTGTACTGAGTCATCCGTCTTGTGGTTCAGCCGCTAGATTCTCACTAAGGGGCCCAGACCCAGGGGGCTGCGTGTGATAAGTTCTGAGCACCCCCACCATCCCCATCCACGGCGGGGCTCAGAAATAAAACAAAGAGTAAATGCAGTCAGTGTTTCCCTTTGGAAATGAAATGCTGTTGACCCTGGAAGGATGTACAAATATGTGTATGAGGGGATGTGCACCAAAGCTCAAAGGGAGAGGCAGATCCAGGCGCCGAAGCACGCCCCACTCCCCACCCTGCTTTTGGTGTCACGGGGGCTGTGCAGACCTGTGCCCATGACCGCTGTGGCCCCTTGGTTTTGCAGATATGAACCTAAACTTCCAAAACTTGTCAGTGATTGGCTTCCGCGTCCTCCTCCTGAAAGTGGTCGGGTACAACCTGCTCATGACGCTGCGGCTGTGGTCCAGCTGAGGTGAGCCGGCATCTCAGCCGGGCGGTGGGGTCTGGGGGTGGGTCCCCAAAGCTAACCTCCCCCAGGCTCTTGCTTTTAGGTCCTAAGTCTGGGCCCACCAGACTCCTCCTTTTTCTTTCCTGCTAGGAGTTCCTCTTGTTAATAGCAATGGCCCAAAACACTTGATAAACACGGTACCCTCCTCAGGTGACATTAGTCACCTCGCTTGAGCCATGTCTCCCCTACAAAGTATGAGGAACAGTTGTTATTCTCCTCATTTTGGAAATGAAGAAACTGAGGCCAAGTAATATCAAGGGCCACACAGCTAATGAGGGAAACTTAGGAGAAACTTAGGACCCAGACTCATTCATACCCACACCTTCTATCATATCCCTTTCGCTGCAAATCCTAAAAGGGCGGCCCCCAATTCCTTTCCTCTGGCCCTCTGACCCCAATATGGTGAGACGGTATTGTATTCATTATCCACCCTAATCCTGGCTAGAGTCTCCAGACCCTTCGCCCCCAGTACCCCAGGTCATCCCACTGACAAGAGCATCCCATCAAAAAGAACCGGGGGGGCTTCCCTGCTGGAGCAGTGGTTAAGAATCCGCCTGCCAATGCAGGGGACACGGGTTCAAGCCGTGGTCCGGGAAGATCCCACACGCCGCAGAGCAACTAAGCCCGTGTGCCACAACTACTGAGCCCACGTGCCACAACTACTGAAGCTGGGACCCATTTGCTCCTAGAACTCTACAAACAGAGGCATCCCCATCACATCCCTAACTGTCCTGCATCTCCTCAGTATGCAGCCTGACTTCTCTTCTTTCTCCTCCCAGGTCTCCAAGAACGTGAGAGCCCCGTGCTCCCTCTCCCCTTGTTCCTTGTCGCCCCTCCTCTCCCTCTTCAAGCAGAGAGGTGCACTCTGCCCCTGTGGACAAGAAGGCTCCCTCCACCTCTCTGGCCCCACTGGCAATACCACCAACTGGGTCCTACCAGATATTCGTGATCAAGACGCTGAAGAGCTGCCCAGCACTGCTGCCACCCCCTCTGCTCCCTCACTGCTGCCTGTCACTGCCTGGCATTCTCAGCAAAGACGGAGGCCACTGCAGCCTCTCCTGGCTGTGGGGAAACTCCCTCCCCGCCCCACCCCTCCCCGAGACTGCCTCTGATGTCCCACTGAAGGATGGATCCCAGTGGGTTCTCTTGGGCTCTAGCTCCTGGAGATGTTGTGTGCTGTTTATATTTTTTACACGGTGTTCATAAAGAAATACATACCACCCTTTTCCCCAAGATGTGGGGGAGATTATCTCATGATCTAGGCCCTGCTCTGCTTGTGTATCTGAGCCACGTTGTATATCCTGCTGCCGTGCCTTCATTAAAAGCAATTTGGAAGAGCAGAGGCGGTGCTCCTGTTTGATTGGATTTGGTCGGGATCGTCTTCGGCCTGCTGTGGCTCACTAGCTGGGCAGAAAGAAACCAAGGCGTTTATCCATGATGACATTCAGGGAGCCTGACTCAACAAGCTGCTTCAGTCCACCTCTTCATAGAAAAACCTCTGAAAAATTCCACTTAGAAGGCTGTACTGGGGGCCAGGTGAACCCGTTGAAAAGCTCGGGTCCCTGCTCTTCCATGGGGCCACCCGTAGCGGGAGGCCCATGTACATGGGTGGTAATGACCTGGAGTTGAAATTTGGCAGACAGGGACCACACAGCAAGTGTCCCCAAAAGGCCACCCACTGTCTCCTGCCCTGAAGCAACATTTCCTTTGCCTTTCCTTTCAGACTGGATTCCCGTTGAAACAGTGCATTGACCTACAAATTCATGGCTGGGAACCACCCACCATTCCACTGCCTGGGTCCCAACCCAAGGCCCAGCCCGTTGGAGTGCCCAGTCTAGGAGTGGGGGAAGCGGGTAGAAGATTTTGACCCTAGCCACACTTTCTACTCCCACCACCCTGGATGTGAGAATGAGAAAAGCAGAGATGAGCTCTCTCCCCGCAAGCCCAGGGACTCAGCCAAGGAGAGTAGAAGTCTCAAGCCCTCACCTAGAGCACAGGTGATGGGATTCCCCTGGGGCCCTTGGGGTTCTCCTGAGCCTCCTGCTGCCTAAGCATCTTTCCTGGGGTCACAGACGCTGATGGGAACACCCCTCAGAGACCACTCAGCCATCCACTTCACAATTACCACGATCAAGACCGAAGTCCAGTGCTTAACCATTCCCAGGGCAGTGGGGGGGGGGGGTGCCATCCTCAAATACCTGTACAGTTCACCTGTGTGTCTCTGACCACACAGCCAGAAACATGCAAATCCTTCCAGCTACGATTCAGGCCTGCTTCTTATCATAGGGATGGAGCCACCAGCTCGACACAACCTAGGCAATGTCCCTCCCCTCTGTGAGCTCCAGGGTCACCACCTGTAAAACCTATAAAACCTATGTCACATAGGACTGGAGGCTGCCTCAACTCCCTGCATCTCTGATTCTCTGGCTTCTATAGAAATAAAAACCATGTCCATCTCTGGAGCCCTCCCGAGGATAGTCACAGGAACCCCAGTTCTCTCTGAGCGGCCTCGTGTGCAGCCTAAATACAAGTGCCTTTAAAGATCACTAAAGCGAAAGGTCTCAGAGGAAATCCCATCATAGCAGGTCACTCTCACACACAGGACAGGCACCACCTGTGGGGAACTCAAAGCTGCCTCCTCCTCAGTCTAACACAGTGCTAGAGATTCCACCATTGGGAATTTCTTTTAATTAAAGCATTCGCTTCCCCATATTAAATGAAAATGCCCCTGGGGGGTGGGGGGGTTAACAGAGCAAGCCTTTATCAACTGTGAAAAACTCCCAGGCAAATTAGTCTTTTTGTTCCTCCTCCTAAAATAGTAATTCACTTTGGTCTGTACACAAAAGATCCAGGCAAGGGATGTGTAGGTATCTGGGGAGAGAGGTCTACCCCTGAGAGTTGGCTGCAAAGATGCTGAGGATAAAGGGGACATGGGGCTTAGGGCAGGGGACAGGAGCAGGGACCCTGGAAGGCAGTGAAGGGGCCAAAGAAAGGCCCCTCCAAGAACCTCACAGGAGGCCTGGGCTGAAGGAGGCCAAGGGAGCACGTGGGGTCGCACCAGCCCAGGGCCCTCAGGTGGCAGGGCCCCTTGGTCACTGGACCCCTAAAGCTATCCGAGGACCTATGAGGGGGTGTGGCAGCAGCAGCTAGGGATCCTCCCAGACCCACGGAGGGAGCAAGGCCTGCTCCTTCCAGGCCCAGCCCAAGCTGAGGGTGACAAGGTCTCAGTCAGGTAAGAGGCCATCTGGAAAGCAGGGTCAGCACCACCCCTGAGCAGTTTCCATCTCAAACCAGGGGCTCCTCAATCCCAGCAAGAACTTTCTCTCAAGTCTGAGGCTGTTAAGTCTAAAGCCAACTGGGGCCAAGCCAGAGGGCAGAGCAGGAGCAAGCAGATGTGTAAGGGTGGTGCAGAGTCCACTCACCTGTGTCCACTCTGTTCTCATGTCTGGCCCAGGCCCCACCGGGGGTATCAGAGGGGATTAAAGTGGCCTTTGTGAGGGGGCCTGGGGAAGGGTGCCTACGCCCACCAGGAGGGTCAGCGCTGGGCTGAGGGCCACTGTAGCAGATCCCTCGGTGCAGTAAGGGACCCGGCATTGTTCAGCGTGGAGGGAAGAGGCTGCTGAGGAAACCTGGAGACGTGGTCATCAAGTCCCTGAGACTTGCCCAGCCCTGAAGAACCCTAGTCCCCATGAGCAGGGGCCAGCCTCAAGGAGGGAAGGCCATGCCATCCCAGGGGGGAGTGTGTCACCAAGGCTAGCTGTAGAACACATTTCTCTGGACAGATGCCCTACTGCTCCAAAAGGCTTTAAGCACAAGCCAACCCTGGAGGCAGAAGAATGGACCAAATGACTTCTCATGGCCCCAGGCCTAAGATTCTAGAACACTCTCTGACACTTCACCCAGAGACCTTCCTTCTGAACACAACTGAAATCACAGTCCAGTCAAGAGAAGAGCAGGCTAAGCCAGTATGTGCTTCAGGAACACTTGGGTGGGGTCTTCAGCTCCACCAGAGCGACCCCTCTGCCCTGACCCACCATTGGAGAGGCAGCCATCTGAGCCTCAAAGGATTGTTTATCCTCTTGGTTTGCCATAGAATCCAACTTCCCTGGGGTCACATGTAAAGCCTTTAACAGATATCACCTTAGTTATCAGGTAACATCTCAGCAAAAAAATCCATTCAACTATGCGCTCCTTGGGATGGAAAGTGTATCTTGTTCATCCCTGTGCCTGCGACAACTCGCACAGTGCCGGGCACACAACCAATGCTTAATATACACTTAAGCAGCAAGTGAACAAATAAATGATTAGTACCATCAGGCACTGGGGAAGGAGCCAAGTTGTATATGTGTGTAGGGGTGTGGGGGGAGCATAAGAAAAAAGAAAGTGGGGGTTAATAGACGAGGTGGCCGGGTGAGCCACTATTTCACAATTTAGCCAAGAGCTAAGAGTAACCAACCTGTCAAGAACTATCAGGAAGGGGCTTCCCTGGTGGCACAGTGGTTAAGAATCCACCTGCCAATGCAGGCGACATGGGTTCGAGCCCTGGTCCGGAAAGATCCCACATGCCGCGGAGCAACTAAGCCTGTGCACCACAACTACTGAGCCTGCGCTCTAGAGCCCACGAGCCACAACTACTGAGCCAGCGAGCCACAACTACTGAAGCCCGCGTGCCTAGAGCCCATGCTCCACAAACAAGAGAAGTCACTGCAATGAGAAGCCCACGCAGCGCAACGAAGAGTAGGTGTGCAGCAAGGAAGACCCAACGCAGCCAAAACTAAATAAATAAAATAAAATAACTACCAGGAAAAGCAAAACCTGAGTGATGGTCCCTTGGCCAGTGCAGCCCCAGGTGGGCACTCATCCAATAGAGTCTAGAGGATGGTTACTCTGGGAAAGCACACAGGGCTTCCAGGCGTCAGCCCTCCAGTCACTGAGGCACCATACCAAGGTCCAGGGCTGAAGGCCACATTACCACCCACCTCACTTCCTCCAGTGTCCTATCTTAAAACTCCTTCTCCAATCTACTTCCGGGAGCAATGTGTGGGGAAAAAAACTTCTGACTGATGGGTGGGTCTGGGGAAGGGGAGCAAGCCGTGTGCAGACCCAGTGCCGGCACTCTAAGTACACTGATGAGCCAGGAGACTGCGGCGGCCAGTGCCCTGCCTCTGTGTAAGGCCACCTGCGATTCAGGCATAGTTTAACCCAGACACACACATGCGTAAGGTTTCCTCTGTCACACGGAGAGCTATATTTTGAAATTAATAAGCAGGTCAGACATTGAGTCAGTAGCCAGAAGTAGGACAGGAAGTGGAAAAAAGTCTACCACTTCCGTGCAGATGTTCTGGGGGCTTGGGGCGGCCCCTCCCATTTCCATGACGTCATGGCTGCCGCGAGGGGCAAATGGGGGCACCGTTTGAAGCTCTCCCGCAGAAGCCACATCCTCTGGAAAAAGGAGTTTAAAATTCTGAGTTACAGATAGCATCACCCTAGGCCACGTGCCGCCGGGGCCCGGAGGGCTGGGCCGTTACACCACCACGACCGCAGGTGCGACAGGAAGGCAGTGGGCGAGCTGGGAGGGGCTGGCGGGGCCCTGGCAACGGCACCCACGCCCACAGCAGGCCGGGGAGGTGCTGCACACCCCACTGTGAGAAGCAGCCCCGCCCCGCCTCTCCCACCCCCCACCAACCCAGCCCTAAGATCAAAGCTTGATCTCACCCGATCACACCCTTTCTTAATACGGGACAGGCCCTCTAGGCTATGTCCGGCCCGCCATCCCCGGGAGGAGTGGGGTCGCATCCGCTCCCCTACACACAGCTGGGGCTGGTTCTCCGAGGAAGGCCCCCGCTCCAGGTCAGCGCTGAAGTGGAGGGTGATGGCCGTGATGGACATCTGCCTCCCAGAGGCCAAGGAGGCCAGGAGATGGGGAGCCGCAGAAGGAGAACCAGAACCTGAGACCCGAAGAACGGCGGTGCTTTGACGTCCTGCTCTGTGGTAGCGTCCCTGGCCACCCACCTGGGGGCAGCAGTACTCCACCAAAGAGGCCTCTTCTCCTTTCCTGCTTATTCTAAGGAAGGAAAGCCCCCAGTGCTTAGGAAAACCTCTTTTCAGAGGAAAATAAAAGGACAGAAGACTTCACTCCAGGGGCCGAGCCCCTGCCCTTTGCCCATCACTGCGTCGGGCTCCGGCCCACATGATCCTGTCACATCCCTTGGAAGAGAGAGGGTTTAGGGTCTGGCCGGGCAGACAGCAGGGGGCACTACCTGCTCAGGATCACCAGGCTCCCTCATCCACAGCACTAGAAAGGAGTCCCTCGGGAGGGGCTGGGGGAGCCCCCGGGATA